CCAACTAAAAAAATTTATTCATGCAAAAAATCAATTTGATTCAACAGTCGATTATCATACAAGTTAGAAAATTTTTATCTTACACACCCACATATTTTAAGAATAGAACCAACTATTTATTATAATATATATATGATTTGATCTTGTTATTACTTAAGTCTGATCAAACTTAATTTTTTGCATGATGTTTTCTCGATTTTGTCATTATGAGATGAATGGTTCAAACTCAATCGACAAAGTGAGTAAAATAGTCTCATAATAATTGTCTGTGAAGTTGAGATTTTCTCATTTAACAAATCTTAGACTCGATCAACAAAATTTATGATTAAAGAGAGTATAATGTTATTATGAGTTAAAAAACAAAAAAAAACAGAATTCTAATATAATATGTTAAACTTGTATATTTACTGGTATTTTTTTTTTTCCAGAAAATTTCAAGATGAGATCTTTATATTTATTTTTATTTTTTTATTTTTAAAAATCTCAAAGGAGAAATGTGAAAGCAAATTTCAAAAAACTTATATAAAAAGCCGCTGCCAGGAAGATAGTGACCTCATGAAAGAACATTATTATTGTTCCAATAATTCAATCACATCCTAAGAAGACTAATATATGTAGGCTCTTGCCCATGTCACTTCCCCTAACTTTCCATTTGACAAACCCTAAATATTTTTTAAATGTAGTCTCTTCTAGCCGGTGGAAATTATGGTCCTTACATCATATAAATAATGGCAATCCATACATTATATAATAATCAAACTAATTGACTACATAAATGTATATCCTACATGGTTGTACTGTGGGATTAATAAGTCCCTCCACAAACTTAAATTAATAAGTGCCTTTTCTGTCGATAATATTTTTCCTTTGGTTGTCTGCTTGTTTAAACCAGGACATGTGGTGTACATAATTTAATACTTTAATAAAAAATGCATTTGTCCCTAAAAAATAAAAAATATTTATAAAAAGATTTACATTTAATATGATTCTATCACACTAGTTTTTAAATTGGACACCAAGTTGAGATTGTATTTTTTCAAATTTTTTGTCATTAGGACATTGATATTGTCTAAAAGGATATTTACATGTCTTAAAATTTACATATCTATATCTACGTGTCCAAACGTCACATATTTATCCAAATGTTATATATTTTTTCATGTGTCAACCTATCTATTCAATGTCACATATTTGTCAACACTCGCTGCCAGCCTTCATTGCCAATTTGCTGTCCATCGACTACTAGTGACTTTCTGATGACTTCTCTAATCAATTTTTGATGACTTTTCCGGTAATTTTAAACGTGTGTTCTTGTTTTATCAAAATAGATTAAATTTTAAAACTAAATAACATGACTTATTAGTTGGGACTTTTCAATTAACCTTTTTTAAATTCCTGAGCACTATTTTTAAAATACATAAGAGTAATTTCACTAGTCGTTGCTAAAATAACATGTGAAATTATATTTAATATGCCACTGAAATCAAATATTAAATTTGGAAAATATTGCTCTACTGATACAATTTCAATATTTTTTTTGGTCGGTGGAAGAGCCAACTAAGGATCGAATGGTTTTTCACTGCCGTTGTTAATAAATGCCATTAATTCTACAGTGTGCCTTTGTTAATTAATGCCATTAATTCGAAAATTTTTTTATTTTTTATGAAAAATTCTACAGTGGTGCAATACATACCATATGTAATTTTCTCATAAAATTACATAAATTTTTATGAACTTATTAATAAAAATGTGTAAATTGAACACAAATAAATTCAAAAATCACATAAATTTTTTGAGACTTACCGAATTCGTTTTCACTTATATATTTTTGTGAGATAACTTATATAAAAATTCATAAAAATACATAATTTTATGCATTGCACATCGGAGCAATTTTCTTTTTATAAGTTAGATATTTGACATTCAAATTATATTGAAATATAACGTTCAGGAATACTTTCATGGATGAACTGAATTGATAACAAACAATATTGCAATAAAGTTTGATATTTAATATAAGGTTTGTTGATGTCATCTTTTAATAACTGGACAAATTGGTAGGGAAGGATTTTTTGTTTAGTAATGTTAAAATGTTTGTCTTTTTACAATGTTTAGTAATGTCATCATGGACAGTGTGATATTGTATTAAGGGAAATAACAATTCAGTATGAATTTGAAAAAACAATTTTTTAAATAAGTGGTAAAAAATTATGAACGTTAATAATAAAGTATTAAAAATTTTCATGAAATTGTAATTATTTTTAAAAGATGCGCCACTAAGTTTGTTATTTTCCTTGTATTAATAACATAACACAAGTGATGAAATCCATTCAATAACTAGTTCTGACAAATAAGATGGTAAATAAAAAATAATAATAATTTGGATTTTTCAAGTTAAAATCTGAACTTGTAAGAGCTTGAGGAGTTCATGGAAAGCCTATTAATGGTTCTATTTCGATAATTTGAACCGCTCATTTTGTAGACCTCTCCATCTATATTATCCATAAAATAATTACTTTGATCTGCTACCCCCACATTTGCATTCCCCATTTACCGTTGCATGGTCCTCGTGCAAAATTTTTTTTACGACTTATGGCTGTCACAAAAAATAATTTTTTTTAATTGTGAATCGTAATATTTTTATATTTATCTTAAAAAATAATGATTTATTTTTAAAAATCTACTTGACATTTATTTTTTTTGTGAAACAAACATGATAAAGTATTATGTTTATCAAATTGATCTATTTTTTTTTAAAAAAAAAAAATATATATTTAAAAATCTTAACAAAATAAATAATTCAAATTATTAAAATAAAATCTGTGTGAGTCCACGAGCCTTAAAATTCTCTCAATTTGCATTGTGTTTGGTTTATTTTCTGAATTCATTTTTTTTAAATTGAATTTTTTATTTTTCGTATTTTTTTTTTGTTTTTAGTGAATATTTTTCAAATTTTAAGCAATTTTTTTTTTTTTTTAAAAAAAATTAGATACACCTTACTTAGATGTATCTAAAAAGTAAAATAATTTTCAAAAATATTTTAAAAAATCAATAAATACACAAGAATATAAAAATGTATTGAATTTTCGTATTTTTTTTTATATTCTTGGTATTTAGTAAAGTTTTAAAGATTTCTCTTACTTTAATTGTATTTAAGTTAGGTATATCTAAATATTAAAAAAAAAATTGTTTTAAATATTTTAATAAATCAGTGGAAAAAAAAACAAAAAATTTTAATTTTTTAAAAAGTGACAAAAAAAAATGGTAATTGTATATTTAAAGTGCTCAATATTCCTATTGGCTAGTTAACCTGATCCATGCACAGACTTCAAGGAACCTGCCGTAGTTGAATTTTTAAATGGCAATAATAACGTATATTCACTAAACACCATTACAACATTTCATTAGGCTCTCTCGCTCTCTCACATCAAATTATATTTTAAATTACAGCCTTTGATTCCAAAAAAGCAACCATGATTCTTTAGTTTGTTTATTAAGATATGTTGGTAAACAATAATGCTTTAATTAATGTGTCACTTTTACATTAGTCATACAGGGATTAGTCGAGGTAAGCAAAACTAATCCAGACGTCTCAATTATCAAAAAAAGAGAAAAAAACTTTTACATTAGTCACAATATGTATGGTTAAACCCATTTAATCAATGAATTATGATAACCAAAATGATAAATTAAGTATAATAATAAATATAATTATTATAAGCGTTCCCGTTGACAAAATAAATAAATGTAGATATATGTATATGGTGTTGCCAATTTGGTCCCACCTTGCTCCTCCAAATCATTTTGAAAAGCAAAGGTTCAACTGGGGGTTAAAATGTTCAGTATCAATCTCCATCACCTTGGATCCAAACAGTCCTAGTATCATCCCCTCTCCTTCCAAGCAGGCAAATTATGTCTTCTTTTATTTGCCAAAATTAGCGATTCTACAACTACTACTACACTTATCCATATGATGCTAGCTAGCCCAGTTGTTCAATTCCATTATTATCTACCAAACACAAGGACATGTTTACAAAATTTATGCCAACTAATGTACTCAGTAAGATAAATGGTGCTGATAATTTGAGGGTTTTTTTTATTTTATTTTTTTTATTTAAATTTTTAAGATTTTTGTTGTGTGCCGAGTTATTTGGTGTTGAAAAAATTAATTATTTAGGAAATTGAAGGAGATGTGCTTTTAACTTATACTATCAATTTTTAACTTATAATAAATTACACCAAGCAAGCTCAATGTGCTTTTGAAATGAAATTTTTGTATGATAAAATATAAACGTAAATAAATTTGAACAATATATTAACAGTAATATTATAAACTTAGATTTAATTACTCAAAAATTATACAGAATTGTCATATTATGATTCAGATTTATTCTATATATGAACCCTACACAAATTTAATCTCAACCATATAACTCTTATTTAGGGTACATTCGGGATTTGTAATTGGATTCATACGAAAAATTATATACATAACATAATTTAAGACAGAATAATGTGACTAGTATTCTTGCAATTTATATATGAACCAAATGCCACATTTATTTGGCAGATTAGGTTGAATGAGATTGTTAGTGAGGAGATAGTTAATAAAGAGATTATTAATGTGAGAATTGTTAGTGAGAAGATTAAGTAAAAATGTATTTGTTTTAATGACAGTAGGAGAGATGATTAGTAATGAGATTGTTAAATTATTTTTACATAAAATAAAAATAAAATGTTTCTATATTAAAAAAAAATCTAAAACAAAATATTTGAAAAAAAATTACAAATAACAAATTGCACTTAGGTTAAAAAAAAAAGAAAAGTAAAGTGCATCTTAATCCCCCCACTATTTTTTCAATTCCAATCCATATGAGGGCAACTTAATCCTGTTGAGGTGTGGGAGTAATACTCCACCTGGAGTAGCAATCCCTCTCCACAAGGAACAAACAAGCTGTAATGGGACCTACCTCCTTACTATTCCAATCCCACCTCATAATCTGCAAAACAAACATGACCAAAGTGATGAATATTTTGACTACTAATAAATGACTATAAATGAAATATATCATTTGTGTATGAGTTTTATGTATGTATATTCTATGAATAATGCTACATGTATTAATTAGTATACTAACTAGTGTATCAATTGATGATGTGATATAATTTAAATTTTTTTGATATTTGTAATATAATTAATTAGTGTGGTTAATAATAATGTCATAACTAGTGTTGATGACTAGTTTAGTACACTAATTTGGTACATGTAATACCACCATATTCTATTTATATAATATCATTCTTTTTCATATATTAAAATTTTTCATATTTTTTAATCAATTTTGTCTAAGTAACATTTAGGGTTCGTTTAGGATTGTGATTAATTTTTTTTGATTATTTTAGTTTGAGCTTAAAAAATTTCATTAGGGATGAACTTTTTATTTTTTTTTTAATTTTTATGAGAAAAATAAATAATTATAATTTAAATAATATTTTATTTTATTAATTTTTTAATTATTTAATTTTATACCATTTTACCCACGTAATCTCTTCCCAACTGAGTGCTAATCATCTACCAAACATTAGTCGCACATGCACCGCTTCATCACCATATGACACATGGTCCATTACACCTTTCATTTCCCTATAAATATTGCTCTTCAAATCACTCTTCTCATATTTTCAAATTTCCTCTCTCTCTCTCTCTCTCTCTCTCATCCTAAGCATTTCTTAAAGAAATGGCTCTTATGAGTAGGCCATATGCTTACTCAAAGATGGAAAGAGAAGACCCAGAAGAGATAAAGCATAGAAGAGCACAGTCTTGATCTACAAAGCACTAGAGAAAGTGGATTCTCAGAAGAACCATCATGGTTGAGAGTTAGAATCTGCAAACTGAAGATTAAGATTGGGAAGAGATTGAAGAGGTTAAGGAAAGCATGTTTAAGCATGTCTAGAGCTAAGAATGGTGTTTGCAAACAAGTTACTCCTCGTCCAATAATATAGTCCCTTATTCCATTTTCATTGTCCAAAATATTAGTCCCTCTTCAAAAATAAGTACAAAAATAATATAAATTTCCCATTTTGCCCTTCTTTTAAATTCATAATAATATAAAAGTACAATTATGACATTGATATTCTCAAAAAGGTGTACTACAAGGGTAATTTTAAAAAATCAACTTTTTAAAAGTACAATAATTGTACTATCAAAAAAAGTTAGATTTCCCAAAAGGGACCATTATTTTGGGAGGAGGGTATTTGTCAATGGAAAACATGGAAGCGCTTGTTCCGCAGTGGTGGACAGGCCATGGTCAATCTTCCTCCTGTGTTTGCTTGAGAAATTTTCTCTCTTGTTTTCAGTTTTTGTTTGTTTGCCAAGAAAAAAGAAACAAGAATGTTACAAAAAGGGTATTTCAATTTAGTCATGAGATTGATTCCCTTGTTTAATCATACTTTCATGCCAATGGTTTGTTGTTGTCTGACCTTGTAATTTGCTCTGCAATTATTCTTCTGCAAATCTGGGTTTTATTTATTTATTTATTTTTATTTATCAAATTTTTGTGCTAGAACTTGTTTGGTAACATCACTTTTTAACCTAAAAGTCAAAATCACTAATAAAAAAATTCAAAAGCCAACAACTTATACCAAAAAATTAAATATTCTATTTTTTTTTACTTTTTATATATCTTTTCATAAAAAATCAAAAAATATCTCAAACACATTAATTTTTTTTACATCATATTTTAATAAAAAATAATTTATAAAGCCGGTTCCTAAACAAGGCTATAAAGCATTAGGAAACAACAATATTACATATACTAAAATTTTTTAATCATAATTATCAATCAATTCATTCAAATTTAGGGATTGTTTGGAGTGTCCTAAATAAGTGTACTTTTTGTTTTTTTAGACTAAAAAGTTGAGGTTGAAAATATGAATGTTTGGATTAATTTTTTGACTTTTTATGAAAAAATGTGTATTAAAAAATTGTATAAATTAATGTGTAGGGAAAAATCAGTATTGGGAGTTGTGCAGCCTTAATTGTTTAATTTTTGATAAATAGTGATAACTTTTTAACTTTTTGAACAACTTTTTAATTTTTTGACTTTTTTAAAACTTTTTAAACTTGGCCTTATTATAAATGGATGTTATACTCACTACATTTAATCTTAACCATACACTTGGGAAATACAAAGTCACAAGTATTTTAGTTGAATTTATTGTCAATTTGACACTTGTGATAAGATTTGAACATATGACCTCCATCCAAATAAGATGCAAAAGTTTTGATCAATTAGATTAGAACTGATCAATCATCCTTTGAAGAAGCTAAGCTTTGCACAATTTGGGGGATGAGCTGGTGTATGTATGTCAGAGAGAACATGGTTTACAAGTTTATCGGGAAAGATTATATGTATGCTTTCTGGAGGCCTTGATTTTCTATTTTTAATCTTTTTATTTCTTATAGTAAAAGATTCATAATTATTAAGTTATATCTTAAAACTTTTATACTTAAAAGAGATTTTAAATAATTATCAGTGTTTTAAAATTACATAGAAAGCTTTGGAGCAGAGAATCTTTAGTCTTTTTTGCAATATATGTATACATGGTAATTATTCAATAGGTCTTATTTGGTAACTTTTAATTCTAATAAAAATTAAAAATGATTATAAATTATCATATTAATTTTTTTTTGTTTTATGTATATTTTTTTTATATAAAAAGTCAAAAAATTATTAAAATAATATTCTCAAACGAGACTTTAGAGCACCATATAACATTTTTTCTAGAAGCACTCGATTCTATGTTTTTAATCCATTGTGCTTCTATCATAAAACGCTTACAATTATTGAATTATGTTTTAATTTTTTGTATTTAAAATGATTAAATGATTATTAGAATTTTGAGATAGAAAGATATAATGATTTTGAAAAAAAGGAATATTCATGGTCCTTTTGACAATATATGATATATAAAGTAATTATTTCAGTAATTTCAAAACACATGTGAGATTATTTATATGGTGTTCCAAATCAATCATGTAATGAAAATTTTTACAATCAATTATGTAATAAATTTTTTTATAAGTATCGTATTTGAGAGTATCAAATGAGTAATGTTTCATGATATTTTAAAAATATCTAATAATTTTTTAAGATATATTTATTGGTATATATATTTAGAGTTGTCTAGATGGTGCCCTTTCAGCCAGCTAGAGAATTGAAGGTTAGCAGAATGCCAACTCTACTGAAAAGAACATGAGCATGCTTAGCATGTTTGCAACAAAAAGCTTCCATTTAGGTCTCCCCATGTTGATCCCCACCCCAAAGAAAGAAATGAAAAAAAATAAAATGATCAGCCTACATTTTTGACAAGCAGGTACTAATTTATTTATTATTATTATTATTATTATTATTATATGCTGAGCAACATTAATACAAGTTGGAGTGTAATTTGGACGGGCTCAACTCGAGTAATCCAAACCCAGTCCGAATTTTTTTAGGCCTTGGACAAGATATTTTCAAATTCGGTACGGATTTGGGCAACAATTCAAAAGCCAGAATTAAATTTGGACGGATTTGGCAAAAGACATTAAACAACCCAAGCAACCCGAAATTCGAATTATACATAGATCGATATATATAAAATATTATATATATATATATATAACATATAAAAATTATTAGCAATTAGTACATGATATCAAAGTAATTTAGATTATTAAATCATATTGAATATATATTATATATACAAATAACATAAAATCTTACATTTTTTTTAATTTTCACTCATAAATTGTAAAGACTACTATAACGACATCTCTCTTACATTATATAAATTATTTGTTTTGATAATATTAATAATTTTCTATATATGAAAAAAAAATATAAATAGAGTCAAATTTTAATAGTTTAATAATGTAGCAGCAAACTATATATATATATGATTCGGGCAATTCAGGCAACTCGGACAATTCGGGTTTAACTTGGGTCGGGCTTGGACAGGCAACCTCGGATTATAATTCGGGCTTGGGCAGGCCTGAACAGATTTCAGCACAACTTGAATTAGGTTTGGATAACCTCCCAACCCAACCGAATCTGCCCGAATTATACCCTAAATACAAGTGATACATTTTTGACAGGCAGGTACTAATTTATTATTATTTCTCCAATATGCTGAGCATCATTAATACAAGTTATTGGATTTGGGGAAACGTGCATTATTTTTTTTTTAAATATCAGACATCTTAAAATTTTATCAAAAATGTCTTGCGTTGTGTAACTCACATGAGACTTATAAGTTATTGGAAAAATTTTATTGGATTTGGAAAAATTTTATCTTAAAAATTTTATCAAAAATTTTTAAACATCTTACAAGTTATTGGATTTGGGGAAACGTGCATTATTTTTTTTTTAAATATCAGACATCTTAAAATTTTATCAAAAATGTCTTGCGTTGTGTAACTCACATGAGACTTATATTGTGTGAGTCATATATCTATGTAAGATATTTAATAAAATTTTTGATAAAATTTTTAAAATCTCTCACATTTTCTACTTTTTTTTCTTTGAGGCAAAGCAATGGTTACTACCTAATATCTTTTAGGTGAATTGCATTCATCTCCTTTAAAATTTGAGAACAATATAATTAATTATATATTTTTAATATAATTATATATATATATTTTAATAAAATTAAAATGATCAAAATTAATATAGATAGTAGGTATTCATTAACATAAGCAAAGATATAACTATATATTTTAATATAAAAAAGATGGCAATAAATTATTAATGAATTTTTTTTAACTGTTATCTAAAAAAATTAATGTAATTATGATAAATATGTATGACTAACTGTATTTTTTTAAATATCAAAAAATATGGGTGTGACTTACCCTATCTTTAAAAACGTTGCCCGGATGCGATCTTTTATGGAGTGCTTTGGAAAGTTAGTAAAAAACTGTCTTTTTGATTTTTTTGATTTTTTTATCACTTTTTTGACAAAAATTTGACTTTTTTTTATAATTTTTTTGGAAAAACTTGGTAAAAAGTTAAAAAACAGACTTTTTACCAAGTTTCCAAATTGCTCATATCAACCAATATAATCAGCTACACTGATTTCTTTCCATTATGAAAATGTAAGTTAAAAAAACTTACTAAGAAAGTGGTAGATCATCTATACTGCTTCTTTATATCTTCATCTTATTTAGATTGGGTTTCTTTTAATTTCACATTTCAATTTAAGGGAACTTGAGGAGCATGTATGGGGGTGACAAAAATACCTTGATCCATTGAGTCTGGACTCCCTCCAACCCTAATGGGATGGGTTTGAGAGTAGTTGAATAAGGTAATTGGGTTTGGGTTGGGGCGGAGGAGAGTATTTTTTTTACTCAAATCCTACCCGAACCATAAATAGAGTAATAAATAAATAATAATATTACATATATATGTAATGTGTATAATATATTATTAAATTTTTATAGAATATATATATATATATATAATATCTATTGAATTTTTATTATGTTATTATAATATATATTTTTTAATTATAAAAGAAAAATTTATCTATAAATTCCAATGGTAATCCGTTTAGTCTTAAGAATTTTTTTATAAACCAATTAGTCCTATTGATTTCGGAAAGCAGATTTAATATATTATTTGAAAATTAGATTTATGGTTATATCATTATTTATTTATTTGTGATAAAAAGGTAAAATACACAATTTCTGGGAATTAAATTTGGAATAAATTTTTATATTAGAATTTTTTTATTTAGAAAATATTTCAAAGATAGTATAAAAATGACTTGAAATATGAGTTTTTTTAAACATTCTAAAAGGATGTAGGATTTTTCAAACATTTCAAAAGCAGTACAAAAATTTCTTAGCAAGTTTTGGACAAATGTATAATTTCAAACTGTAACATTCCAATCTAACACTCAGAAAAACTCTTTGGTGTACTTTTTCCAAGTGTAACATTAAAAAAAAAAAACTCCTTAATTTAATACTTCAATGTAGTATACAAAAAAATTCCTTAGTATATTTTTTTCCCAGCGTAACACTACAAAAAAAACTCCTCAATGTAACACTCCAAAAAAAGGATGTGGCATTCTTCAAACCATTCCAAAAGGAAGTAAGATTTTTCAAATCATTCAAAAGGAGTTCAAAAATTACTTATCAGTAAGTTTTGGACAAATGTATAATTTCAAACTGTGAGTATTACGTTTGGGATAAATATAGTAAGGGAATTTATTTTAGTATTTTTGTGTGTATTATATTGAAATGTTACGTTTGGGGTTACATTGATTGGAGTGTTGCGTTTGTGAAAAGCACACTAAGAAATCTTTTTATGTGTTACATTGGAATGTTATTTTTGAAAAAGTACATTTACGATTTTTTTTTTTTGAAGTGTAACGTTGTTACGTTCGGGAAACGCACACTAAGAAATTTTTTTGTTTGTTACATTGGAGTAATATGTTTGAAAAAGTACATTTACGTTGTTACATTTGAGAAAAGTATACTAAGGAGTTCTTTA